TGCAATGCTCTGTATATTGACCTCTAATATATAGCCGGCACAAAGATTTTCCCCATTGTGTACTTTGTTTCTTCACTCTGGGTATTACTTCCTTCGCTATGCAGAGGGTTTTTAATTTTAGGTAATCCCACTTGTCTGATTTCTTTGTTATTAGAATCCTTTTCAGAAAGTCCTTATTTGTGCCTATATCTTGACATGTTTTCTTTATGTTTTCTTCTAGCAGTTCAAAGTTCCTGCTCTTAAATTAAGACCCTTTATCTATTTTCAGTTGAGTTTGGTGCAGGGTAAGAGCTACAGATCTAATTTCATTCTTGTGCACATGATATCCAGTTTTCCCAGCACTATCTATTGATGAGGCTATCTTTTCTCTGATTTGTGTTGACAGCTTTGTCAAAATTTAGGTAAGAAAAGCTGTGTGTATTTTTTTTCTGAGTCCTCTCTTCTTCCCCATTGATCTTCATATTTGCTTTTTGCCAGTACCATCAGCATCATCCATGTGCAGTGACTGCCTTGACCTCAGTTTATCTCTGTGGAGGCATCTGCCGTGCCCCATGGAACTGCTTAAACTTTCATCTTCCTGACTGGAGTGTGAGCTCACAGGAGTAGGGACTGTGGGCTCATGATTTTGTTCCAGAGCCCTGCAAGGTGCTGCCTGCACATAATCAATGCTCACAATTTTCTTACTAAATTCATATGTGTGCTGGATAGCTTTAGTGTTAACTTGACACACCTGGGTTGAGGGAGCCTCAATTGGGGAATTGCCTTCATTGGACTGGCCTGTGGTCATTTCTGTGGGACCTTCTTGATTGATGAGAGATGTGGGCGGGCCCAGCCCACTGTGGGTGGTGCCACCCCTGGGCAGGTGGGCCTCTTTTGCATAAGAAAGCAGGCTGAGCAGGGGTCAGGAGAGCAAGCCAGTAAGCAACATTCCTCTATGGCCTATGCTCCAGCTCCTGCCTCCAGGTTCCTGCCCTGAGTTCCTCCTACCTTGGGCTCCAGGATGAACTATGACCTGGGATATGTAAGCTAAATAAACCCTTTCCTCCCCAAGTTGGTATTGGTCAGAGTGTTTTGTCACAGCAATGGAGAAACAAAATAGGACAATATGCTTAAGAAGTTTTCATTCTAAAAGTAGCTGGGTTGTTTGTAAAGAAGGTCTATGGATTCAGTTCTGAAAAAAATCAACCAAAGTAAATGATGTGGTTTATGGCTTATGCCAATCCATCTTTCATTGCAAAACCTTTATGCTTTTGATAGACACAATACCAAGCTTTCATAAAAGTAGAACACAGTGATTTATAAAATGATCCACATTTTGCGATTCTTCATGTCTGAATTAAATGTCCCAACTGCTGTGCACATACTTAGAATATGTGCCAGAAACTACAGAGTTTTCAGATGCTTTCAAAAATTTTTTTTGTGTGTATTTTAATAGTATGGGTAAAGCATGCATCATTTCAAGAAGAGATAGAGCCCTTGTCCTATCAGAATCTGAGAAATGACTTTGTAAGAAATTAAAGAAATCTTAAGCTAAAATCTATGAAAGAGGGAATTCCATGTGAGAGGAGAGTTAGAACTCACTAGGGAAGACATGCCAGATTTATACTTGCTACTCCATAAAAGCCAGGAGGAAAAGAGTCCAGGTAGAAAGACGTTTCTAAATTGTTTCCTGTTTAGATGATTTCAATTAAATTATACACTGCCGGGAGCGTCAGCTAGTAGAAACAATTATAATAAACAGATGTACTCTGGAATCAGGGACAATTTATTTATCAGCTTTGCTTATCTGAGTCTGAGTTAGGTCCTCCAATGTTTGAAAAGCTTTGATGCCTCAACATGACGTTTGCCAAAGTGGGGTCTATAATGAGTAGCCAAATTCTCTGTATTTCAGGCACTTTCTTTTAAACTACTTTTGAAGGGGACTGTCAAGTGTTGCATGCTGTTTGTCAGTTAACACTTGGGGAGTGAAATTCACAAAGGGCACTTTATGTACCTTCACAACAAGGATATCTTTGCCAACACTTCAGAGCTATTTTAAGTTTGGGAGTTGTAAGTATCTCAGTGTTTTTGGAGGTGATAGTAATTGACCCAGGATGCCTAGGTTTTAAGTGAGTTTGTACTTTCAAGACCTGTTGGCACATGCTGCGATTTCAGCTCTGTTATATGTCCAAGGACTTGTGTCTTTTATTTACATGGCTCCCTTCATCTGAGGAGTCTCATAATAATGGCAATGATAATTTAAAATATTTATAAATGCCATTTAATGGTTGCTTTCTAATTATTCAACATTTGTTATTTAGGTGCAGGATCCCATTGAGTTCATTCACACTAGAACTTAGAAGTAGGTACTATTATTTGTTCTATTTATGATGAAAACATCGAGGCTCAGAATGTTAAGAACAATTATCTAAGGAAATGGAACACAAGTGGGGAAATTGAGTTTGCACTAGGGATGGCTGACTTCAGGGCTCTTAATCTGTTTTCCAGGATTCCTAGAAGACTAAGTGTGTCAAAGGAGAAAGGAGAAAATTTATATGTGATTGGTGGGATGGGAGTAGAGGTAGAAGTGGGAGACGCCATGGCAAGAGCATGTGCCAGATAAACCCTTTCTATGTAAGGATTTCCAAGGGATATATTTTGTGTGTATGTACATGTGCGAATGCATTCATTTCTGTGTTGTACACATGGGTGTATTTTTCCATTTTCCATGTTTGTGTGTTGTATACATGGATGTGTTTTCCCATTTTCCAATTTACTTGTGTGCTCCAAAAAAGTTGCTATAATTGTTGATAGCCTATGTTTTATCCTGGGATTGTGAGAGGCTTCCATTTTTCTGCCTCCTTTGTAACTCATCTATTTGATCATATTGAAAATCTCAGTTCCTAGAGTTCAGAGCTAGGAAGTAGGAGCCTGTCCTCCCCTCTCATAGCAAGCCCCACCACAGACTCATTTTGTAAATTGGTGCTTTGGAGAATAATGGAAAAAGAAAGGAAAATCGAGAAAAAAGGCATGGATCTGAGACTGGGAGAACAAGCCGCAAGTTCATTGGGTGACCACTGAGGATTTGTTCACCTTGACAATGGCTACACTTTTCCCTCTGCTTTGAATTCATCATTGTGGTTAATTTCTCTCTTCATTTGCTAAACAGATGAGTAGCAAGGACAACAATAGAATTAAATCTGAACAAAGAGGTCCTTTTGTCCCACATCTGTAGTGTTCCTTTAAGAATAAGGGTCTCTAGCCCTGGGAGGTCCATTCTGAGTCTGGGCATTTCTACCTCAGCAGTTACAGCTTTCACCAAAAGAAGGAAATGCTTGGAAAAGGGAAAAGACCCAGTTAACTGGCTGCTTTGAAGAAAATTAAGTCTCCAAAGGAATAGGTAGACACAACAAACTCCATCTTTTCTGAGGAGCAATGCAGTGTGAAGTGCTGGTCTGGCACTTGTCTGCTTGCTTTGCTTTGGAAAGCGAGCAGACAAGTGCATCTTTTGAGTTTAATTTCAGATGCAGGGACTTCTACGGCCTTTCTCATATTGGACCTGTATCTCTAGCTCTTCCTGAGGTGGTTCAAGTGTTTCTCTGAAGAAAAACTCTTTTGTCTTCCCTCCTGTTGTCTTGCAAATTAGTCACTTGGTCTATCTCCCTGAAGTACAGATGTCAGTAAGATAATTTGATGCTCAATCATTTTAATAGTATACCTAATTATTAAAAAAAAAAAAAAAAAAGGATTTCTGGCTTAACCTTCAAAATGTTCCATAACCAGGCCCTGAACATTTCTTCCACACCATTTTTTCTCCTCAGTTCTCTTTGCTAATATGGAATTTAAACTTTATTTCCCTGAAGTACAGTTCAAGCTCCTCAAGGAGATTTTTGTCTGCTTTGTTTACTGCCATTTCTGGCACCAACAGCAGTGGCTGACTCCTGGAAGGAAGAGATGAACCTGTGTTGAATGGTGGAATGAACTTTTCCTCTTTCCCTGACTCCGTAACTTTGCTTATTTCTTGTCTTCTCACGAATCAATGTTCAGTTTTTATTCAGCCTATCAACAAACCAATTTTTCCATTAAGCAACACTGAGTAAACTGGAATAAATCCATTCTGTGAATACCAACCCTCTTTATGTCCCAACAGTTGTCAACCACACATCTTTTGGGCATTTTTATCTGTCAATTAAAACAACTTAGATCTGTGTGTATTTGACAGAAATTTAAGCTCTTTAGGTAGAAAGTATGTTTATTTTTATTTTTTTTCTCCTCTTGATAACCTCTCATTTTAGTGATCCTAAGATAGGTTTTTGCAGATAAGAAACAAAAAGTATTTGGTTAATTTTTTTTTTTTTTTGGTCTTTTTGAGACAGGGTCTCCCTGTCGCCCCCCCTATCCTGGAACTCACTATGTAGACAAGGCTGGCCTTGAACTCCCAGAGCTTGCCTGCCTCTGCCACCCATGTGCTGGGATTAAAGGCGTGCACTACCATGCCTGGTCTTAAATTTTTTATATTGTACTGTTGTAATTCCATTAAAAACACAAAATCCTTGTAGAGATATGCCTTTAATGTTCTTTCTTTTACATATGTCAACTACGTTTAGTGTAATTGTTTCAGCAATGATTACTGAATTATTAGCTACATTGTCAGTAGACAGACAGTCTTTTATAAATGGTTATTTATATACAATCTCACAAAATGTACAACCTGGAGTAAATGCTAATGTGAAAGATGGTCTTCGATGATAATGTTGTATCAGTGTGGGTCCACTGATTCTAACAAATATACCACCTTGGCTAAGAATCCTGATAGTGAAGGAGACCATGCGAGTACAAGGGTAAAGAGATGGGACATCTCTCTATCTTGTTCCCAATTTTACTGTGAGCCTAAACTACTTTGAAAAAGTAAGCTGGGCATGACATTTGGAAAGCAAACACATGAGGGTCACTGTAAATTCGAGGTTAGCCTGGTATATTAGTTTTTTTCCCTCTGTTTCTGTGACAAAAATCCCATGGCTGTGCTCTCTTTAGCAGTACATATGCAAAAATTGAAACAATACAGAAATCAGCATGGCCCCTGCACCAAGATGGCATGCACATTCATGAAGCATTCTGTATTTAAAACAAAAAGTCTACCATGACCAAGACAACTTACAGAAGAAAGAGTATTTGGCTTAGTTCCAGAGGGATTAGAGCACAGCTTGGCATGGGAGGCATGGCAGGATGCAGCTGAGAGAACACTGAAAACTCGAGGCTTCAAGTAGGGGAAGCAGAGAAAGTGGAACTGTGACAAATCCGTGAGCTCTCAAAACCCACTGTCAGTGACATGCTTCCTTCTGCTAGGCTACATATCCTCAAGGCACCATGACCATCCTCAGCACCACCGGATGGGGCCAAGAATTCAAATACATGAGCCTATGCAGGACATTTCTCATTCAAAACACTACACCTGGTCTCCCTATCTAGTTACAGGCCAATGAAGACTTCAGAGTGAGACCCTATCCCCCAAACTAAAAATCAAAAACAACAAAGAAATAAAGTGTATTAAAAAAAAAAAAAGCAGTTATAAACCTTTTTACTCAGGCCCTGTGCCAAGTAATTTTCACACACATACTCAGAGAAAATCTTAGTCATCATCGTGGTAATGATGGTTAGCCCTGTGATCCTTAGGTATGTGTCTATCACTATTCAACAGTTTTTTTTATGAGTAGTTCCACATTTTAAGATTAAGACTTAGAGAAACATAATTTCATTATATCATTGGTTATTAGTGCATCTGAACCAATCCACTTTCAGCTTATAAGATTGTCTTGGGATCCTGTGCTGCTCTGTGGCCTCTAATAACAAAATATTTCTTTTAACAATAAGCCAAGAGGACTTAAAGATGAGAAAGTAGCAAAATATGTCTTTTCCTTTGATTTAAAGCTTCTAACTATGTACTCCAAGCAATAGAACAAAAGCAGCACTAACATTTATTTGGCTAAGATTAATTCCATATTCTTATATATTTCAAAATCATTTATAAATTGTAGCACTATATTAATTTCTAGCATAGTCAATTTCTTTCATTTTTCTTCTGTGTTGTTGCTGCTCAATTTTATGTAATTTTTCTTTTACTGTTTATGGGCATGATCTCTTAGAGGAAAAAGAGAGAAGCCAAAAATAAATTAGTTGGAAATTAGTTTTCAGCATTGACAGAAAGCAGGCCCATTTATCTCATAAAACCGATGCCTTCTGACACACAGCTCTACCTTCTGTCTTGGTTATTGGCCTCTAGGGCCTGATTCTCAGGGTGGGAATATGTTTCCTTTTAGACTCCTCTCCCTTTGTTCCCACCACACAAGGTAATAATCTATAAAGAGGAATCTTGGCATTTGCAGCACTAGATTGACAAAAGGAAACAGTAGGGAAGTCTCTGCACCCATATTTCTCCTCTTTCCTCAGTTTCCCATAACTGTTCCACATGTGGGTATAATTATGTTTATTTATGATGTTGATATTTAACTGCTCCTGGGTTTGAAGCACAAAATCTTCCTTTCACAATAGGAACTACATGAGTTTTTATCCAGAGAGAAAGGACTCCACAGATCTCTGCAAACTCAGACTCCTTTATGTTTTGGCACCTGTTTTTCCTGAGATCATTGGTGCACAAGAAGCATGCTGTTTCCTACAGAGATTTTGTTTAGACTCTTTCCAATAAGTTAGAGAGTAAATATACTGAGATTTGGGGGGCTCAAGAGATTAAAAGAGAATCTATAGGGCTAGGAAGGGGAATGAGTCAATAAAATGCCTGCGGTGAGGGCATGAGACCAGAGTTCAGACTCCCTGAACTCTATAAGAAGCTCAAGGTGGAAGCTTGTGCCTGTAGCTCTAGAATTGAAGGGTGGAGGAGTGGAGAGACAGACAGGTCTGGGAAGCTCATTGGCCAGCCAGCCTAAGCAAATCCATGAACTTCAGATTCAGTGAGAGACTGCCTCAAAAAATAAAGATGAGAGCAACTGAGGAAAGACTCTCTCATATTAACCTCTGGCCTCCACAGGCACATGAACACACAGACATGCACACCTGCACACACCCACTCTAAGTGCAAATACTACACTCACAACATATGCATAAGCATACAAATTAACACACAGGAAATATATATATATATATATA